GAAGTTGGGTAGTTATTGTTAAATGGCTGTAGAGTTTCAGTTTGACAAATGAAAAAGTTCTAGAGATTGGCTGCATAACAATGAATATACTTAAAAATATTAAACTGTACACATAAACTGATTAATATGGTAAATTTTATAAGTATTTTATCACAATTTTAAAAGATACAAATTGGCATAAGCTAAATGCCAAGCAAATGGTGCAGAAAAAATGATACAGTATCTCGAAACAAGAAGCAATTATGAGATATGCAACAAATTTGGTAAAGACTCTACACTTTTTCTTGAAAGAAAAATAAGAATCAAGTAAGCAGACAGGAGATGAGGGAAGGTATTACAACCAGGAACAATGGGAAGCAGACAGCGACACACATCACCTGGGAACACAATGTACATCACAGTCTGACTAGCACACAGGCTGCCAACAGAACAGCTGTGGAGACAAGCTAGAGTAACGGCTCTGGAAGGGCAAGGAAAATGCTTGAAGGCAATTCTTCTTATTGAGTAGCTGTCACTGAAATGAAGTAATAATCATCACACTTTTATTGAGAGTAAACACAAGAGGGAAAAACAGAGACTGATAATTTTACATTTATTCTTCTCTCACTTCCATTCTCCAACTCCTATGATAATGGAAACGTAGAGACACATTTTATAAGTTAGATGCCACACATTAATGAGAGATGGGCCTAGAAATAATAATTTGTGTAAAGAACCAACATGCACATTTATTCTGACTGGCAATTTTTTAATTTCATTGTCAGTATTTCATATAAACCAGCGATTTTAAAAGGACCCACTAGGGTAAATGATGCTAATGTTACAGTGAAATGCACACCCCACGGTACCTAGATTCGTTAGCAATACTGAAGGCTATAAACGGACATTCTAAGAGACAGATTAATTGTCCTGGTTGCTATTATGAAATCCTCCTCCCACTAACCGCCAGCCCTGAAGCAGGATAATCACTAAGTCTATTACGCTCTTAACTGAACAAAATCATTTATCCTAACCCCAAGAATGAAAATTTCTATTCTCCCCCAAGCACTTTAAAAACTTAAACCAAATGTTTCTGAATAATCTTCTTGGATTTTAAGCTGTGGTTGAATTTGGTTAATAGTCATCTCTTTTAAAAATATTTTTCATAAAGATTACAGACAGCTAGAGTGTAGGTAGAAAGACAGACAAAAGGAGAAGATTGATCTACTGAAAAGAATGTGCGTTAGATCTCTTAAAGGTTCCTATCTTCTTTGGACTTTAGTGTGGAAATGATTAAATTAGTAAGTCAATCAGGTTGTTCA